ATTCGGTTCCCAGGATTGCTGTAACAAATGAACACTAACTGGGCAGCTCAAAACAGCAAAAATTTATTCTCTCACGGGTCTATATGCTTGAAGTCCAAGATGAAGATGTTGGCAAGGACTTGCTGTCCCTGAGGGGTCTGCAGGAGGCTCCTTTCCTGCATCTGCTGGGCTTCTCATAGTTGCCAACAGTCCTTGGCTTTCCTTGGCTTCTAGCACTCCGAGGTCTGTCTCTGTCATCACATGGCATTCTCCCCTGTGTGTCTGTCCCTCTTTATGTCTTCACAGGGCATTATTCTCTCTGTGTTTCTGTGTCCAAATTTTCTAGCCATGCAAGGGCAGCAGTCCTCGGATTAGTGCCCCCTTAACCCTTTTCCCCTTTGCCTCAGTACTCACCTGCACACTTGCTGATTCAGTGTTTACCCGCTGTGAGATAACTTTGCCATGAAATACCTCAGCTTTATCACTACTTTTGCATCACTCTAGAATATCGACTTTGGAAACAAAAGACATCATTCTATTTATGGCGTTCTGTTTTAGTAGTGGCATTTCTATTTACAACATGTAGTAATTCTTGATGGCTGAAAATGTCAAATGCTGGAAAACATAGCATTCCTACTGATGACATTAACACCATTCTTAAACGGTTGTTGGCCAAAGATTCATTTGATGTTAATTCTCTTTAGAAATGTTTTGATTGTAAGTGCACTAGTCATATTGGATTTCTGATTGGATTATTTTCACATTGAAAACCAGTCAGATTTGCTTCAGCCTCAAAGAATGTGTTTATGTAAAATTAAGTGAGTGCTGGCAGCGAGCTGCACTTTTTATTTCTTGAACTCCCAACCTCAGGTGATCCGCCCACGTTGGCCTCCAAAGTGCTTGGATTAGAGGCATGAGCCACCACGCCCGGCCCTGAACTTTTTTTTCTAAACAGAAAGAGTTAATGTGATATGACCTCATTTTAAGTTGATATTCGCAAAGACCTATTTTCAAATAAGGTGACATTAAGAGGTCTTGAGGGTTAGGACTTCACATAACTTATTGGAGGACACAAATCATCCCACAATAGTGCCTCATTCTGTAGCCCTAAACTCTGTAAAAGAAAATAAGCTTTGATACAATTATTAACATACTTGTATCTTCATTAAAATTTTCTTTGAAGATCTGAGATGGTTGTAAAGACATGACATCATGTCCTCACTAATATTTTAAAATTCTGATTATTCTGTTTCGTTCTCAAAAAAGTGGAATTGCCTGGTGAGGCATGGTGGCTCATGCCTGTAATCCCAGTACTTTGGGAGGCCGAAGTGGACAGATCACCTGAGGTCAGAAGTTGGAGACTAGCCTGGCCAATATGGTGAAACCCTGTCTCTACTAAAATTATAAAAATTAGCCAGGCATGGTGGGTTGTGTCTGTAAATCCAGCTACTCAGGAGGCTGAGGCAGGAAAATTGCTTGAACCAGGAGGTGGAGGTTGCAGTGAGCCAAGATCACACCACTGCACTCCAGCCTGGTCTAACAAGAGTGAGATTCCATCTCAAAAAATAAGATAAAATAGAATGAAATAAAGGAAGTGCCAATAGAAGATTGTGTTGAAAGACTGGTAACAGGGGCCTGTTAATCGATGAGTTAGCCAGGGGCTCCTTCTGCATGTGTGGGTGTGTTTCTGCTCACATTGACGTGGCCCAGTGGGATGAACTGCTGTCATCGTAGACAATTCCTAATGAGTTCAGTTGCTTAAGGAGACCCATATTGATTCTCAGTTGCACATTTTCTTCAGCTCCCAATTTCTGTCTGCTGATGGGTGGCTGCTGTTCATGTGAAGCTGAGAAATGTCGAGCCGTGTTATTACTGAGCTCTCTTCCATGGTGCTGTGCAGGTGGCATCTAGTTAAGATTTTACAGGGGCTGAAAGCAGTCACCATGTGTGACAGGCATGCGGATTTTGAAGGCATGTTAGCTCCAACTCTGTAACTGCAGTGCCCTGAGAACATGTGTCATTCCTGATGGGTCAAAGGCAGACTTTACTTCATGAGATCTTTGGAATTATCTGAAGATTTATACGTTATTTTTCTGATAGACTCATCACAAATGTCCAAGGACACACATGATGAAATGGTTTTCCATAGCTCAGGAAGCCACCCTGCATTGTCAAGTCTATTATGTGCCAGAGAGAGTGTGGAAATGAACCGCCCTGAGCAAAAATAAGACCCTATTTTGCTGACAAAAATCCTTAGATGTAATGTGAGACTTCCATGTTCCAGGGAAGGTATGATAGGTTCAACTCTATCCCCTCTAAAAAAGTGCTATTTGGAGACTTAATTTCTGCCACCTCAGAATGTGAGCTCATTTGGAGAGAATTTTTACAGAGTGTATCAGTCCGTTTTCATACTGCTGATAAAGACATACCTAAAACTGGACACTTTAGAAAAGAAAGAGGTTTAACTGGACTTACAGTTCCACATGGCTGGGGAGGCCTCATAATCATGGTGAAGGAAAGGAGGAGCAAGTCACATGTTATGTGGATACCCGCAGGCAAAGAGTGAAAGCTTATGCAGGAGAACGCCTCTTTTTAAAATGATCAGATCTTGTAAAACTCATTCACTATCATGGGAACAGCATAGGAAAGACCTGCCCCCATGATTTGAATACCTCTCACTGCCCACCCCCCCACAACTCATGGGAATTCAAGATGAGATTTGGGTGGGGACACAGCCAAACCATATCTTTCCACCCCAGCCCCTCCCAAATCGAATGTTCCCTCATTTCAAAACCAATCATGCCTTCCTAACAGTACCCCAAAGTCTTAACTCATTTCGGCATTAACTCAGAAGTACATAGTCCAAAGTCTCATCTGAGATAAGACAAGTCCCTTTCACCTATGAGCCTGTAAAATCAAAATCAAGATAGTTACTTCCTACATATAGTGGGAGTACAGGCATTGGGTAAATACACTTATTTCAAATGGGAGAAATTTGTCAAAACAAAGGGGTTACAGGCCCCACACAAGTCAGAAATCCAATGGGGCAGTCAAATCATAAAGCTCCAAAATGATCTCCTCTGATTCCATGTCTCACATCTGGTCACACTGATGCAGCAGGTGAGTTCCCATGGTCTTGGGCAGCTCTGTCCTGCGGCCTTGCAGGGTATAGCCTTCCTCTTGGCTGCTTTCATGGGCTGGCATTTAGTGTCTCTGGCTTTTCTAGGCACGTAGTGAAAGCTGTCAGTCAATCTACCATTCTGGGGTCTGGAGCATGGTGGCTCTCTTCTCACAGCTCCACTAGGTGGCGCCCCAGTAGGGACTCTACGTGGAGCTCCAACCCCACATTTCCCTTCTGTGCTGCCCTAGCAGAGGTTCTCCATGAAGGCCCCACCCCTGCAGCAAACTTCTGGCTGGGCGTCCAGTCATTTTCAAACATCCTCTGAAATCTAGGTGGAGGTTCCCAAACCCCAGCTCTTGGTTTCTGTGCATTGGCACGCTCAACACCATGTGGAAGCTGCCAAGGCTCGATACCTGCACCCTCTGAAGTCACAGCCCAAGCTCTGCACTGGCCCAGTTTAGTCACGACTGGAGTGGCTGGGATGCAGGGCACCAAGTCCCTAGACGGCACACAGCAGAGGGACCCTGGGCCTGGCCCACGAAAGCATTTTTCCCTCCTAAACCTCTGTGTTTGTGATGGGAGGTGCTGCCACAAAGGACTCTGGCATGCCCTAGAGACATTTTCCCCATTGTCTTGGGGATTAGCATTTGGCTCCTCGTACTTATGAAAAATTCTGCAGCCAGCTTAAATTGCTCCTCAAAAAAGGGATTTTTTTTTCCTATGGCATTGTCAGGCTTCGTTTTCAAACTTCTATGATCTGTTTCCCTTTTAAAACCGAACACCTTTAACAGCACCCGAGTAGCGTCTTGAATGCTTTGCTCCTTAGAAATTTCTTCTGCCCGATACTCTAAGTTATCTCTTTCAAGTTCAAAGTTTCACAAATCTTTAGGGCGGAGGCAAAATGCCACCAGTCTCTTTGCTAAAACATAACAGGAATCACCTTTGCTCCCAGCAAGCTTCTCATCTCCATCTGAGGCCACCTCATCCTGGATTTTATTGTCCATATTATCAGCATTTTGGTCAAAGTCATTCAACAAGTCTCTAGGGAGTTCCAAACTTTTCCTAGTCTTCTTTTGAGTCCTCCAAACTGTTCCAACCTCTGCCTATTATCCAGTTCCAAAGTTGCTTCCACATTTTTTTTTTTTTGGTATCTTTTCAACAGCACCTCATTCTATTGGCACCAATTTACTGTGTTAGTTCATTTTCAGCCTGCTGATGAAGACATCTCTGAGACTGGGCAATGTACAAAAGAAAGAGGTTGATTGGACTTACAGTTCCACATTGCTGAGGAGGCCTCACATTCAAGGTGGCACGAAGGAGAAGCAAGTCACATCTTACATGGATGACAGCAGGCAAAGACAGAGAGCTTGTGCAGGAAAGCTCTTCTTTTAATAACCATTAGATCTCATGAGACTTATTCACTACCATGAGAACAGCCCAGGAAAAACCTGCCCCCATGATTCAATCACCTCCCACCAGCCCCTCCCACAAGAGGTAGGAATTCAGATGAGATTTGAGTGGGCTAACAGCCAAATCATACCACAGAGTAAATCCAATAAAATCCAGTATGACTGGTATGGTTATACAAAGAGGAAATTTGTTCAAATTCATCCAAATTCAGTTTTCAGGTATTTTAGTGATTGAATCTTCCTGGAAAGAGGCCATCAATTTCATACAAATGTTTCTCACTAGGGTTGCCTTGTCATATACTTCTGAAATGGGAGTGCGCTATTTTCACTCTCGATAGGAAGGCTGGAGGTCCAGAAGGGAGGATTTCACATTTAAATTTCACTGCACCATGTATTTAATCTGTAGCATGTTTTCAAACTTAAATCTGAAGTGTTGGTAGTTTTAAGATTTATAACAGGACTGGCCAACAACAGTAAGTGCTCAGACATAATGGAATTCATTATTTATTCATTCTTTAAGGACATCGGTTCTTCATGTAAGTTTCCAAGTGAAGTTATTCAACAAATTCTGTTGAGATTTTATTTTTTTAAAAAAGAGGAAATTTGGACACAGAGACCAACATGAATAGCAGGAAGATAACATGAAGACACAGGAAGAGAGGCCTGGAACAGAGCCTTCCCTCATAGCCTCAGAGGGAACCAACATTGCTGAAACCTTGATCTTAGACTTCTAGCTTCCAGAGCTGGTGTTGAAGACCCCAGTTTGTAGTCTTCTTTACGGCAGCATCTGAAGATTGATACAGACAGTGAGCAACTTACCCAGAGCATCATAAATGCCCACCTTGTCCAACAGGTTATTGGCATTGTTTTCCCCAAAGGTAAAATATATTTTTTTCTATATAAAACTGTCCTTTTTGTTGCTCCCTAAGGCTTTACATCACTGCTTTTCCCATGGCTTTAACTTTTTTCGAGCCATGCCCAGTGATTTTTTTTCCTGCTTTTAAAATCTTTTTTAACTTTAAATTCTGGTATACATATGCAGAACTTGCAGGCTTGCTACATAGGTATACATATGCCATGGTGGTTTGCTGCATCCATTAACCCGTCATGTAGGTTTTAAGCCCCACATGCATTAGATATTTGTTCTAATGCTCCCCCTCCCATTGCCTTCCACCCTCCGACAGGCCCCAGTGTGTGATGTTTCCCTCCCTGTGCCCATGTGTACTCACTGTTCAGCTCCCACTTATGAGTGAGAACATGCGCTGTTTAGTTTTCTGTTCTTGTGTTGGTTTGCTGAGAATGACAGCTTCCACTTTCATCCATGTCCCTGCAAATTATATGAACTTATTATTTTTTATGGCTGCATAGTATTCCACGGTATATAGGTGCCACATTTTCTTTATACAGTCTATCATTGATGGGTCTTTGGGTTGGTTCCAAGTCCTTGCTATTGTAAACAGCGCTGCAATAAACATGTGTGTGCATGTGTCTTTATAGTAGAATGATTTATAATCCTTTGGGTATATACCCAGTAATGGGATTGCTGGGTCAAATGGCATTTCTGATTCTAGATCTTTGAGGAATTGCCCACTGTCTTCCACAATGGTTTAACTAATTTACACTCCCACCAACAGTGTAAAACTAATTTATACTCCCACCACCATCCCTATTTCTCCACAGCCTTGCCAGCATCTGTTTTCTGACTTTTTAATAATCACCATTCTAACAGGTGTGATATGGTATCTCATTATGGTTTTGATTTGAATTTCTCTAATCACCAGTGATGATGAGATTTTTAAAAATATACTTGTTGGCCATATAAATGTCTTCTTTTGAGAAGTGTCTGTTTGTATACTTCACCCAGTTTTTCATGGCATTGTTTTTTCTTGTAAATTTGCTTAAGTTCCTTGTAGATTCTGGATATTAGATCTTCGTCCAAGGGGTAGATTGCAAGATTTTTCTCCCATTCTGTAGGTTGTCTGTTTCCTCTAACCACAGTTTCTTTTGCTGTGCAAAAGCTTTTTAGATTGATTAGATCCCATTTGGCAATTGTGGCTTTTGTTGTCATTGCTTTTGGTGTTTTAGTCATGAAGTCTTTGTCTATGCCTATGTCTTGAATGGTATTGACTAGGTTTTCTTCTAGTATTTTTATGGTTTTGGATTTTACATTTAAGTCTTTAATCCATCTGGAGTTGATTTTTGTATAAGATGTAAGGAAGGGTTCCAATTTCTGTTTTCTGCATATGGCTAGGCCCATGGCTTTAACTTTTTAAGAAGTTGGCTAGGATCTAGACTATATAGGTATCCCCCAAATGGAAAAGTGGGATGTTCCTATTCAGAAATACCTTTTTCTCAGTTAACTTTTCTGTATCCAAATGTCTCTGATTACAGATATCTCTGTAGTGAAACTGCAGTTTGGAGAATGAATGAGCATTTAAATTGTCTTCATTATCTGTTTTTTGTTTACCTTTTACATTATCCTTTAATGAGGCTTTGTTAGTGATGGATAAATAACTGAGCAATGGAATGTCCTGTGGAGAACCTGTTGCTTTCAATCTGGTGGAATCTCTCGATATTAGACTTCATTTTGTCACCACCTTAGATAATTGAATCATATTAATGGTTATATTTTATAAGCCATTATTTAAAAGCTTCTGGTTATAATGGCTCACCTAGTAGAGTGCTACAAAGTTTAAATTCTCTATATAATTTAGAAAGGAAATCCAACATCACAGCATTATTTACAATAGCAAATACATAAAATCAACTTAGGTGCCCATCAGTGGTAGACTGGATAAAGAAAATATGGTGTATATACATGATGGAATTCTACACAGACACAAAAAAGAAGGAAAGCATGTCCTTTGCAGCAATGTGGATGCAGCTAGAGGCCTTATCCTAAGTGAATAATGCAGGGGCAGAAAAGCAAACGCTGCATGTTCTCATTCACAGGTGGGAGTTAGGCGTTAGACATAAATATGGAAAGAGCAGACACCAGAGACTCTTAAGTTGGGGAGTTGGGAAGGGGCAAAAGGGCTGAAAAACTACCTGTTGGATATGATGCTGACTACCTGGGTGATGTGATAATTCATACCCCAAATTTCAGTGTCACACAATATACCCATGTAACAAACCTGCACATGTACCTGCTGGATCTAAAATAAAAGTCGTGATTACAAGAAAACAGAAAGGAAATCCAAAATGACAGAATACGTTAAGTGTTGATTTAAAAGTAGAGAAAAACATCAAAACCATTCAGTTAGTTTAATTTAAGAGCACTAGTTTGGTCTTCACGCAGCACCCTGAGTGAAAGAAATGTCCACAGGTGGTCAATTGCATTACGAAGCAGCTCCAATTTTTGTCAAGGTCTTCCTTATATTGAGAACAAATTTACCGCCCCCATATTTCAAGCAACTGGCATGCATATAAATGGGAATCATTTCATGTTAGAATTTGTTAGAAACTTGGATTCAGGTAAAATATCTTTTAGGTGCTTGCTCCTGGGGCTAATAATACTGGCTGCCTTCAGCTTCTTATCTTCATTCAACTTTTTTTTCAGGTGGCAAAGCTGGCTTAGCTGTCTCCGTTTTAGTTGGTCTCGTTGGAATGAGAGTGTGTTCTCCAGTGTGCCCTTTTCTCTGAACCCAAGAACAGAATGTGGGGTTCTGACCATGGTTCTGTGTGATGCTGAGAGGAGTGGAGTGGAAGGTGATTGTTATTTACCTGATGTGGACCTTGAGCTTCCATTGAGGCCACATCTGCAGATGGGAGGTGGGCCAGAGTGTACCAGAAGCAACCACAGGCTTTGGATTCTGCTGATAGTTACGTATAGTTCAGAACACAATTTAATATTATGAAACTACATTGGCAAACTATGTTCTTTCTGCAGGCCAAATCTGTTTCTGTAGATAAAGGTTTATTGCAACATAGCTACACCTATGTTACCTATAGACTGTAGCTGCTTTTCTGCTGCAGGGGTAGAGTTGATCAATTGCAACGGAGATGGCATGACCTGCAAATAGTAAATACTATCAGGCCCTTTACCAAAACAATTGACAACTCCTTGTCAAGCATAGCATGTCATGTCTCTGCTCTTTTCCCAAAAAAGTATTTGGCTATTTTATTATCTCCTTCCAAAATTGTAGTTGGATAGAATCATAAATTTGGAGAGACCTGAGAGACCTACAGAGATTTAGGAATCATCTAGCTTAATGCTCATGTAAAAATATGACTTTGAGGCTGGGGGCAGTGGCTCATGCCTGTAATCCCAACACTTTGGAAAGCGGAGGTGGGCAGATCCTTTGAGGTTAGGAGTTTGAGACCAACCTGACCAACATGGTGAAACCCTGTCTCTACTAAAAATACAAAACAATACGCTGGGCGTGGTGACACAGGCCTGTAGTCCCAGCTACTTGTGAAGCTGAGCCAAGAGAATCACTTGAACCCAGGAGGCAGAGGTTGCCATGAGCTGAGATTGTGCCACTGCACTCCAGCCTGGGTAACAGAGCAAGACTTGGTCTCGAATAAATAATAAATAAATATGACTTTGAAATATTTTTAAAATGTGCATTAATTTAAATTAATTCTTATTTTGTCAAACTTAAATTCATTTTGTAGTTTACAGCAGGCTGAAATAAGTTGCCTCCTTCTTCTAACAGAGGCCTTCAAATCTGTGATAAGCTATGAGGTTTTTTTTTTTTAATTTTTTATTGGATTTTAGGTTTTGGGGTACATGAGCAGAGCATGCAAGACAGTTGCGTAGGTACACACATGGCAGTGTGCTTTGCTTTCCTTTTCCCCTTCACCCACGTTTGGCATTTCTCCCCAGGCTATCCCTCCCCACCTCCCCCTCCCACTGGCCCTCCCCTTTTCCCCCCAATAGACCCCAGTGTTTAGTACTCCCCTTTCTGTGTCCATGTGTTCTCATTTTTCATCACCCGCCTATGAGTGAGAATATGCGGTGTTTCAATTTCTGTTCTTGTGTCAGTTTGCTGAGGATGATGTTCTCCAGATTCATCCATGTCCCTACAAACGACACAAACTCATCATTTCTGATTGCTGCATAATATTCCATGGTGTATATGTGCCACATTTTTCCAATCCAGTCTATTATCAGTGGGCATTTGGGTTGATTCCAGGTCTTTGCTATTGTAAACAGTGCTGCAATGAACATTCGTGTACATGTGTCCTTATAGTAGAACGATTTATGGATATATACCCAGTAATGGGATTGCTGGGTCAAATGGAATTTCTATTTCTAGGTCCTTGAGGAATCGCCACACTGTCTTCCACAATGGTTGAACAAATTTACACTCCCACCAACAGTGTAAAAGTGTTTCTTTTTCTCCACATCCTCTCCAGCATCTGTTGTCTCCAGATTTTTTAATGATCGCCATTCTAACTGGCGTGAGATGGTATCTCAATGTGGTTTTGATTTGCATCTCTCTGATGACCAGTGATGATGAGCATTTTTTCATGAGGTTTTCCTTTAGTTTCCTCCATGGGCGAATCATTTCCTGGTATAAAGTGATCCTTTGAAAGGAGCCTTCTAGGCCTCTCCTGGTACCCCGGCTTCTTCTTTCTCTCACAAAGTGTTCTCGGTTTCGTGGTAGAGGTTTTCCCCAGGTAACTTCTGATTTCATCTCTCTAGCTTTGGCTCATTGGCACAGACTTCAGTGCGTTTCTCATTTTGTACTTTACTCAGGGTTTATTAGAAACACCAAGGTTAAAGTTAAGACACTCTCTATCCGAAGTAGCTTATTGAAATCTAATAAGTAATCTGGTTTTCTAAATCTGAGTGTATCTTTTTTCCATAATATTTTTATTCCTGTGATGAAGTCATGTCCTATGAATGCTGTATATATCAGTTCTCTCCCAAAAAGAGAAAGTAGAGAGAATAAAATTGATTAAAAATGTTTTTTTAATTGATTTTCAGTTATTTTTTCACTAACTGATTTATACCTTTGGATCTCCAGAGTATGGGAATTTGTCTGGCTGTCTCTCCAGAGGTAGTACCCAGATGCTGAGGTGATTCACACAATATCACTTAACACCTGTGGTTCTTTAAGGTTTGTTCACACTCTAGCATTTCATAAAAGATGTGCATTACAGCTTAAATTGCAGTCAATTTCAGATTAAATGAAGTAGGGTGTTTTGGTGGTGAACAAGTAATTCTAATAAATAATCACATTTAAATATATTTCTGCTCTGGGAAATGTTCAGTGAGTTGGAAAAAACCATGATGAAATGAATTTTAAAACAGGTCTTGCTATAAGGATATTCGGATACTTCTGGCAGCATACACACTTCTCTTCTATACGATAATTG